AAGACAGGTAGCGGTTGGAAAAAAGTCAACGGCGGTCAAACGAGGACCCGGCATGCGGGTACGAAAGCCCTAACCAGGAGACTGGGTCAAACAGGTTCCGTTAGACTCCCTAACTCGGGACTCCAAGATCATGGTCACTGATGGTTAGAGACACTGAGCGATATGGCTGGGTTTCGCAAACAGTGGCTCCCATGCATCCACTCATTATTTTTGTAACATCAGTCAATATAAATTCGCTATTTTCCGCTTGAATTTACTCCTAACATTCTAATTATCCTCCTGCTCTGTTATCCAAATGGGCAACTAAAAGACGGCAATCAAAACCGGCGCACGAAAGTGCATGGTAATGGTTGTGAACAAAGTGTTTCTCGACTTGACTTGACTGTGTAACTTCACCTTGCGCTGGCACCACGCGTACTCCCACGACGTTATAAACTGTGGATTGAGCCTCATGTAAAACAGAACCATACAAAAAGACAAAAAAACATGATCAGTGATTCACTAAACTCACACGTGTTTGATGGCAATTGGATAATGGCGGCAATGAGATTACTATTCCTCGGGCATCCTCCACCACAGGCAACATGTGTTGACGGAACCCATCACGTGCCTCAGTGGGGTCCAAATTTAGCGTGTTAAGGTATCGATAAAGCTGACTGAATTTGGCCTGCTTACGCGTTTTTCTATCTGCCTCAGCATCATGATACAAACGGGTTAGAAATCGATCACCGGTGGTTGCATCATTATTGTTCAGCACATGGAACTGTACACGGATTACAAAAAGAATGCAAATAGGATTAAAAACAGTAATGCGATGCAGGAGTTGATACAATGAAGGTAAACCATCAACATCATCGCAGTATACCAAATAACGGGTTTCGTGGTGATGACGCGGTGGTTTAGTAGCTGTCACCGGCGTGCTTGAAACCGTGGTTGAAGCACCGTCGCCACCACTCGACTTTGGTGGTAGGCAGCTTAGCTTTTATCCGGTTCAATACCACGCCTAACCTATCGGGGCCTTATGTGGTTCGCCATTCCAAGTCCCGGGGCTTAGGTTACTGGTTTTTATTACTGAACAGCGGGTCCTCGTGACGGGGTTTCACCCCGTCTGTTGTTCATCACACTTAGGTGTGTAATAAAAAAAGAAAGAACGTGCAAGTGATCCTTATTTTGTTCATAACATACCAGGATGAAGGAAGTCATATGTGCCGAATCAACCACATTTAGATTGAACTATTTTACTTTCTCAAGCAATAGAAAGGCTAATATTGTGTGTAAGATAATCAAGAACTTAATTTGGTCGGTCGCTTTTACTCGTTCGAGTTTACAGTCATGTTGCTTTCCCTAATACACATCACTGGTGAACAATGGAATGGGGGAATCCCAACCACTAGGACTTATTTTACACTTATGATAACCTGTAAAACAACCTAACCACATAAAACCCCGAATAGGATGGGCACGATGTTGAGCCGAGCAACAGTGAGGTTGTCTACCATGGAAGCAGGGTGGAGTTGGTTACTGTCCAAACCATTACAATTTAAATAACGACATTCATCAGAGAAAGTTACGATCAACAAGAAAAAGAGCGTAGCATAGGGCTGTTATGGCTTGCATCTGACCAAAACGTTTTCCGTATATGCCCATAGCTGATTGGCCGATACTGATTGCCATTACAGACTGATTCGCCTCAGTCAATCAAATGTCTGCATTGAACTGCCCGCATTTGACTGCCCTGGATGACCGCCCACTTGCGCTTGTTTATCTAATCGTCTTTATTAATGGCTGGCGTGTTGGCGTCATTGCTTGCTCGCCTGCCAACAGGGCGGTTAAGTGTATATACTCGCTGAAAATAAACGGTTTGGCTGATTCTGTGAGTCATTATTTACTTGCTCGATCGGAACACAGCAATGGTATCAATCGATGGAACACTGATAGTCTTATAATGAAGGTAGGATTGGGTTACTTGCCGTGTATCGCTTTCACGTACCGAGTCTAGATTCTGCACAGACTACCTTAATGTCCAACTCACTCAATAGTTTGTTCACTTTCAGTAGGGTTATGTTATCTGCGACTGGGTGACCAATTGTTCAGATAGAGGGAGTAGTAGAAGTAATTCAGTAGGCATTAAAAACCAATGACCAATGTTAATGCAGTTCAAGAATTGGTCGAGCGTACCGATACGTTCACACGAGCGTAAATTTAAACAGGTCCTAAATCAATCAGTAACTGAAAAACAATGAGGAAAAAAGAATGAATAACTGTATCATACCTGAATTTGTTCGGATTGGCGCATAGTATATACTAATGGGAATTGGACAGTATCCAAGTCATGAGTGGCTAGAGTGGCACGACGACGCAGCTGACCAATTTCCTTATGCCATTCCTCCTGGGCACGGAGAAAAGCTTTCAGCTGGGCTTCCGACTTGAATACCACCCCGTGCACCGTGCACATGACCAAATAAGGTCGTGGACCATCTTTGACTGTGCCGGTTTGAGAAACGCGATACAACTTGCGAAAAAAGAAAACACGAATTTCATAGCAGGCGTGTAGAGGTGAACAAAGCACAGGAAGCTATAAGATGCATACAACTGCAAAACTGACAAATTCTATTGGTAACAAAGTTCGAGCGCAATGGTAAAAAGTGTCGGCTACAAAGGTATCAGATACAACGCGTCATAAAATACACATTCAGATCGTGAGATGAAGATGCAACAAGGGGAATAGAAGGCTTTAACTTCATGGTAATTACCTCGCTGTCATCCGGGCGTTGAATGACTATATGGGGATGTGAGACCGTGGGCTCTGATGGTGCATCCATCGTGGCCTGGACATGGTCCGGACCTGGTTCATTGCTGGCGGCACCTGGACATTGATTGGGCTCAAATTCTTGAGTAGTTGAGTTATTTTTGACTCGATTCTTTTTCCCCTTGCCGGTGGGTTCGTCAAGACGCCGCAAGTATTCCAACAACGGTTTAGTTGCTTTTGGATCATTGGCCAGTTTACGTAAACGCGTATCCTTTATTGGGTTATTCTGAACTTTAAGTAGATGCAGCTTTTTGCATCGATGCAAACTGGTAGGAAGAAGAGGTAACATGTTGTCCGAGAAATCCGCGGTTTTTAGGTTATTCACATTGTGTAGATCATCCGGCAATGCTGAAAGTTGGTTGTGAGAACAATCCAACACTGCAAGAGCCGACAGTGATTGTATTCCGTCAGGCAAATTCTGATAAAAATCATAAAGATATCAGCGGTATAGTAAATCTTACCTCGAGGTTATTTTTTGATGCCAACAATTCTTGTAGCGCTTGCAACTTACCGACAGAGGGAATTTGCTTCAAATTGTTGCCGGACAAATTAAGGCTTGTTAAGTTATCCAAACAGTGGAACATCGAACTGGGTAGCTCACTCAGTTGATTGAACGAAAGATCCAGGAACTTCAGAGTGCGCAGTTGTCCCATTGAATCCGGTAAATCAGTTAATCGGTTGGAAGTCAGACACAGCTGAGTCAAACATTTTAGTTTACTGATTTTCTCAGATAAATTGCTCAAACTGGTTTGTGAAATTTCCAAGAAGTTAAGCTTTGCCAGCTCATAGACACGCTCGTCAAAGCCATTTTGCGACAGAAGATTTGTTATGTCCGAACCAGAGAGCACAAGCTCGTGCCGATTTTCGGCAAGCGCGGTGGTTACGATTGGCCACTAAAATGTGAGCAAGCAGAAATTACAAACTGTAGGAAAAGGAGAAGCTTCGCTACTTTACACCGAATTTAGGAATTCACCAGGAGGGATAAATCCAGAATATATATATATATATATATATATATATATATATATATAT